GCATGCAGGACCGCGCCGCAAATCCAGTCGCAAAGCTCAGCTGCCCCAGAATAGGGTCGGGTCCTCTTCTCCCAAAATCCTAGAAAGCAGGGGAGCCGCGCGGCTGTTCGGAGCTCCCCAGAGGTTATTCCACGTAGCTGCAGGTGATTCTGGCTCAGTTTGTCTCCAAACAGCTCCGCGGGTGCATCCCCTCCTGGGGAGGGCCAAAGAACAGTCCCGCCGTAACGCCTGGAGCCGATGATCTTCCTACAGAGTCCCCTTTGTCTCTCTCTCCCCACCTTGAGGTTTCCAAGGGAGGATAATAAAATTCAGCTGATCATAAGACAGTATTTCTCATGCTGAAAATAAAACCAGGAGAGATAAAAAAAAAAAAAAAAAAAAGAAGGAGGCACTAAAAAATAAAACTTTCAAAAAATTGTAAATAGTGCCGTGACATTCTTTGTTCTGCAAGGAGTCCGCGAGCTGCGCTCAGCCGTCTCCGAGACCCCTCTCCCTCAGCCAGGAGCCGAGCGCTCTCGTTCCCGTTCCGCTGTGCTTCTTAGGAGTCTTGAACCCTCTTCTCTGTACAAAAGAGCTTGAGAGCAGAAGCGGCACCGCAGAAGCAGGCTTCACCGTCGCGTGCCTCCTTCCCACCACAGCCTGGCTCGGGCTACAGGATGGCAACAATCCAATTCCTATTGGGAAGAGAGAAGGGAGAGGGATCAAACATCCCGCTTGACGCGGCAGGGTCCGCCCCAGAGGGCAGCCGGAGGGAGCACAGGTTTGCGCGGGCACAAACACGGACGAGAAAGCGGCACAAGCCTTTTTCCCCTCCCCGAGGGAAGGTGGGAAGTGGGAAAAGACGACGGAGTTGAAGAGCCACGAGGTCTTCGGGAGGGTTCTGTGTTTCCTTTGCACTCGGAGGGAACAGAGCGATTTACGTTTGACCCCCCCGGGCCGGGGCACGGAGCAGCAGCACACACGTACCATCAGTGACAGCAACAAGACGGGCGAGGTACCCTCGCTACGTGGAGGATTCGGTCTCCTGCTTCTGTTTGGAGATGAGCTGAGCCTCCTTCAGCGACAGATACACCTCCTCCTGCGGGTCGTAGTAGTAGAACTTGCGGATGTAGGAGATGAGGGGCCTGAGGGAGGTACGGGCAGAGGTTTTAACCACGCCAACCTCCACGAAGCATAACCAGAACCTCTCCAACCCACCCAGCACCGTCACCTCCCGCAGGAACGGGCTGCGGCACCGGCAGGTAACACCTCACTCCTGAGCTGGTCACCATTCCCACGCGCTTGGCAATGCCCAGCACAGCTCCAGGCTGGGTGGGGAACGGCTGGAGAGCAGCCCTGAGGAGAAGGACCTGGGGGTGTTGGTGGATGAGAAGCTCCACAGGAGCCGGCAATGTGC